AAATAATAAAATAAAAAAAAATTAAAAAAGAAAAGAAATACAGTCTGTCAAATTTAGATATATTTAAAGAAATGTATTCCCATTCACCTTCCATCCCTGTTCCACATCCTTGTTCCTGGCGTATCTGTTGCATAGTCACTTGTAAATTTTGCTTAATCCTTGTTTCAAGTTTGTGCATGTCATAGGGTTTATCTTCGTTGCCTTTGATTTTGTACTCCTCCTTCAGTCTTCTTCTTGGTCTTAGTAATTTTGTGCTGACCTTTTCCTTATTGTATATTGCCATTTTCTTCGCCCGAAGTAATGCATATCAGCCTTCTATTTAAGGGTTTGCTGTTTCTTCTCTCACTCCTGGTTAAACCTCAGGGAGTGCTTGTGCATGTAAAACTTTTCTTGACTTTTTATGATAGTGAGCTCACACACTGTTTGTCTTTTATGGTTGACTAATTGGACTCAGCATAGTGGCCTTTAAGTTCATCTGTGTTATGAAGAGTTTTGCAGATTCACTGTTATTCTTTGATAATTCATAGCATTTCCAGTGGGTGGGTGTGTGTTCATCCATTTATGAGCATTGAGGCTATTTTAATAGTTGTGTTGTTGTGAATAATGCTGCCGTAGACATAGGTGTGCATGTATCTGTTCATGTTATAGCTTTCATTTCTATAGGCCATATGCTTGTCTGTCTATTTCTCTCTCTCTCTCTATCTTTCTATCTATCATTACTAAACTCTATGATTTTTTTACTCCTTTAGTGAAGTCTTTTGATACACACAAGTGTGTAATTTTTTAGAAGATCCCAGTTGTCTGTTGTTTATCCATTTTCAGATACATTTGTGGGTGTAATTCTGCCATATGTTGTTGTGTATCTTCGGAACTGACCCTTCAGTGGGTTTTCAAAAGTGTTAAATAGTACAGGAGGAGATTGACCATCTTTTCTCCTATAGAACAGTTTATGGAATTTGAACTGTGTGCCTTTGGGGTGGCAGTGCAGTTCCTTACCACTAAGCCCCCAGAGCTCCATATATTAGGCCCCCGGATTGTTCCTACTTTTCTTTTATAGTCATTGTAGTTGTAGATTTTACATTTAGGTCTGATTAGTGTTCCTTCCTTCCTCCCTCCCTCCCTTCCTTTTTTTACTTTTTTAGTGCAGTAAAAGGTTAAGATCCTGTTTGAGTTTTCGGCAAATCGATGTTTTTCCAGCACCATTTCTTTTTTTTTTTTTTTTTAAGATAATTTTTATTTATTTATTTATTCTTTTTATGTGTGTACCGTCAAATTGGATCTGACTGGTACAGGAGGCGATTGTTCCTCCTTCTTCAGCAGACCATCTGGTGGATTTGAACCGCGCCCAGCACCATTTCTTAAAGAGAATTTATTTTGTCCATTGAACGTAGAGGTCCATAGTGAATGGATTTCTTTCTGGATGCTTCTATTCCATTGGCCTATGTGTCAGATGTACCAATACCAGGGTGTTTTTGTGTAACTTTCCTGTTCACATTTTTGACCAAATTTTTTAAATTCATGTGCTTCTTATTTCATTGTTGGTGTTTTTGTTATCATATAATCTTTTACCTTAACATTTTCTTGATTATTAAGCTTGTGATTTCATGGCCAACTGCATTCTTTTCTAATGATCAAAATGTGTTTGTGGTTACAATTTCTTTTCATTTACAATTAAGTTTTATGTTGTATGCACCTTGCTTAAGAAAGAAGGGGCATACAGCTATTGATGCCCAGTTCAAATAGCATTTCTCCCTACTGTTGGCACAGTGCTTGGGGAGTGGGTGAGACAGGGTGTGCTCTGAGGGGCTGTCCATTTGCTCTAATAAGCAGGATGGGTAGAGGGTGAGAAAGGGTGTGCTCTGAGGGCCTGTCCCATCAACTTTACTATGCAGGGAGCAGCTAAATGCTGTTTGGTATATCATTGATTTAACTCCTTACTTATTTTTGCAAAAAGTAAAGTCTTCATGTATAGCTTTGACAGTGTAACTTCATTTAAAAGTAGAAGTAAATGTTGGTAAAGAATGGGAGAGATTTTCTGCAGAGAGAGCATGTTTTCTTGTACCAAATATGTGTATTTATGCCCAGATGTACAGTGTACAGGAAGCTCATGACGTTGTTTTAAATTTATGTGTTCTGCTTTATGTAAAGCTTTTATGTCAGAGGATTTAAAAATCAATGCCCGCATTCAGATCTAAGCTGTTTGGCTTACTACAGTTGGACATTTTGAATAGTTTAGTACATAGGTCTTTTGAAAAGGAAGGAGTCACTGTCAGCAGGGTTTTGGTTTTTTTCTTATTTTTTGTTGTTTTTTTTTTTAACTTCCTCAGTAAAGGTGAATGAATCAAATGTCTGTTTATTACTTGGTCAAATATAATAAAGTTAATTTTTCTCTTTTAGAAATTTCAGGAAATTGCTGAAAAAAATTTGGAAAAATCGAACCTTATTGAGAAGTCACATGAACAGTTGGTTCTTGAAAATACACATTTCAAAAATGTGTTGTCACAGACGCATCGGGAGCAAGCGTCCTTGCTGGCGGCCTGTGCTCTGCTGGCTGGGGCCCTGTATCCGCTGTATAGCCGGTCATGTGCCTTGTCCACACAGAGGGATTTTCTCCAAGACCAAGTCAACACGTTCGAGTTGTTCAAATTGGAAGTTCGAACTATAGCCCAGGCCTTGTCAAGCATAGAGGAGAAGAAGCAGGAGGAAGGCAAGATGAAGAAGAAATCCTTCAAGGGGTTGATACGTGTGTTTCGGAAGGGGGTTATTGCGATTTTGGCAGCAAACAGACTCAAGATTTTAGGCCAGTCTTGTGCTTCTCTCTTTACCTGGATGGAGAATTTCAAAGAAGGCATAGGAATGCTAGTGTGTACAGGAGAGCCGAAAGACAAGCATAAGTTTCCAAGTAAGATCATTTGCATTGTATTTGATCTAAGTTGTCTTTAAGTGAAATACACAGTATGAAGATATGTGGCTTCAAATATATGCAAAAGCTTAAAAAAGTCATACAGCATATTAAATCAGAAATATTAATTTATGTATCTAAATTTGGCTTTGATTTTCGGTTTTAAAACAAATACACACACACACACACACACACACACACACATATCTGTGAAACAGCACATGTGTTGTTATGTACTGCCAATTAAAACTGACTCATAGCTGATTCTCCAGTAAATCAAACAGGAGGAGATTGTCTTTCTCCCACAGGACTACTGGTAGATTTGAACTCTGCACCTTTGCTTCTTACCACTAGACCACATGATATAGAGATATAGATGATAGAGATAGAGATCTCTCTCTCCATATGTATCTGTGTGACTTGTTGTTGTTGAGTGCTGCTGAGTGGGAACCAACCCACAGGAGAGCCTCCAGCAGGTTTTCAGAAGCAGTAAATATGTCAATGGAGGAGATTGCCCATCTTTCTCCTGCAGAGCAGCTGGTGGATTTAAACCATGTGCATTTGGGATTTCAGTGCAGCTTCTTAGCACATGGCCATCAGAGTTCCTGATCCTGTGCAATTTACTGCTTCTGAAAACCCACCAGAGGGCCAGCTATGGGTCAGTTCTGAATGTACAGCAGACAACGACATTGATAATTTATACTTAACAGCAAAGGACAACAACAATATGTATGTGTATATACAGAGCCTCAGAATCCTTGCCGCCAAGGAGCAGCCTGGTTTGACCCTTTCCAGGTTGAATCTGTTTGTTTTCCTAGCAGTCCATGGTACCCTCAATACTCTTCTCCAGCACCACAGCTCAAAGGTGTCAATTGTCCTTCTGTCCTCCTTGGTCATTGTCCAACTCTCTGATGCGTAACTAGTGATTGCAAAGACCATGGCCTGTATCAGACGCACCTTAGTCTCCAAAGAGACAACATTGCTCTTCAGTACTTTGGAGAGGTCCCTGACAGCAGACTTTCCCATGGCAATATGTCTTCTAATTTCCTGGCTGCTGGTGCCAAGAGTGTTGACTGTGGAGCCAAGCAAACTGAAGCTGTGGAACAATCTCAATCTCTTCACCATCCATCCTGACGATGCCAGTTGGCCCAGTGGTGAGAATCTTTGTCTTCTTGACATTGGGCCTCAATCTATACTGGAGGCTGCAGTCCTTGATCCTCTGCAGCAAGCGCTTCATACTTTGAACATGTTGTAAGGAGGGACAGGTCCTTGGAGAGGGACATCATGCTTGGTAGGGTGGAGGGACAGTGCAGAAGGGGAAGGCCCCCTGTGAGGTGCATTGATTCAGTGACTGGGGTAATCGGGATGGGTGTGTCGGAGATGGTGTGATTGGCACAGGACAGAGCAGAGTTCAGGGATGTTGTACATAGGGTCACTATGAGTCGCAAGCGACGCGATGGCACATAACAACAACAACAACAACAACAACAACATGTTTATATATACACATAATGATGTATAAACACATACACACATAATGTGTAAAACTTGATAGCTATAATTTGAGTTTAGAGATCAAGTTGAAATTACATGTACATTATTTACTCATTACTGTTGAGTCAGCACTAACTCATAGCACATCTTCTAGCAGGATTTTAGAGACTGTAAATTGCACAGGAGGAGAATGCCTATCTCTCTCCCAGAGCAACTGGTGGACTCAATCCAATTACCTTTAGGTTAACAGCAGTACACTCTACAGCCTGTGCCACAGGACCTTTATTATATACTTCTGTATTATATAAACTTAACTGAGATGTCAGGTTTATATAGTGATACTTCAGTTAGGTTAAACCAGAGCTACTGCTGCCCTATTTAAAATTTATTATCAGTATGACTTATTTCTACTTTCTATAAATCAGTATAAAATGATATATTAGAAATATGCTGAAAAATTGATGAAAATATGATTTTTCTCCATTAACATTTTTGAATATTTGATTCTTCTGAGGAAATAATGATCAAATTTTAACTTACAAAGAAGAAGGCTGTTAAAGAATATGAATGAGAACTCAAGAACATTTCTCTATTTTTCATTTGTCAGTTTATAGTTAAGGCATATACAGGGAGCAGGTGTGTGCAAGTTTTGGTCTTTTAAAGTAGCTGAACACTGCTATGTATTTTCAATGTAAATTTTAGTGGCATTTCGTAGCCCTTCTTCATGGCTTTCTCTCCCTGTAGAACATCAGAAGGAGCAGTCTCGTTGTTTACAAGCGTTCAGTTGGCTCACCAGTTCTGACCTTCTTACTGCCATAATCAGTTCGATGGTCGAATTGCAGGAAGTTATTAGCAAAACAGGTACTGTCCCTTCTTTGTAATCATTTCAAAGTACACTTAAAAGCAAATATCCAGAAATGTTTGATAGTAAAAATTCTAGAAAGTAATTTAGAAAGAAAATTTGATCTCATCTATCTTTTTTTCAGGTACAGAAAGATTATTAAATATGTATTTAATGATATAGTGAGTCAATGTAAATGTTTTTATATTTTCATTTACTTAAAAAAATTTATTTTATTAATTTTCATGAACATTTACAGAAATTGTGGATTTCCATTCATTCATTGTTGCACTTTTCTCCCTGCCCAGCCCTCCTCCCCAGTTCGCTCCTCTCTTTGAAAAGTGAAAGAAAAATTCTTTCATCAGTATACAATCCCCCGCCCCCTTCCCACCACCCTGAGTACACTTCACTATGCAGCCTTAATTCTGGACTCTTGTGGTAACCATGAGTCAATGTAAAATTTTTTAAAGAAATTATTTTAATGAAAGTTTAGAGAGACTTTGGATTTCCATTCGTTCATTGTTGCACAGTTTCCTCCCTGCCCATCCCTCACCCCAGTTCACTTTTCTCTTTGGAAAGTAAAAAAAAAATTAAATTATTTCATTGTTTTATGATTTCCCCATGGTGGAATGGACTGGGTAGTGGAAAAATTGTGTAACATTGAAATAATAGTTGACTCCTTTTACCAAGTGTGGAACCACCTATAATCAGAGATTTGACTTTATTTTCCAGTGAAAAATGTGGCTATGCCACTGGAATGGTTACCACCATTCTAGACATATTAATAGTAAAAATAGTATTCTAGACTTGTTAACACATTTCCCTTAATGAAATGTGGTGTTGATAATAGGTAATTTAATTCTTCAGAGAACTCTTATGCAAATACAGATAATTTGTTGTGATTTCAAATAATATAATAATGGCTAGATGTAGGCTCTGATAATAGCAAACTGATGATTTAAAAGTTATTCTTCTGTTGGATGACAGTATACATATTTACTGTATTGGCAAAAACACATCAAGTGGGCTAAGCTTGAAATAAAAGTCTAAATGGAATATATTTTAAATTTTTAAAAAATTTTATTTTTTTTTCATGTGTACCATCAAATTGAATCTGACTGGTGCAGGAGGAGACTGCCCCTCCTTTTCCACCAGAGCATCTGGTGGATTCGAACCACACATGTCTGGGATTGCAGTGCAGCTTCTTGCCACTAGGTCACCAGAGCTCCCTCTAAATGAAATACATTTTAAGTGTTTTGTTTTTATAACTTAAGCTGAGCCAGAGAACCCTTCACAAAAGATCATAAATTGTATAATTCTGCTTATCTTGACTGTCTCGTTTAGACAGTTCTGTAGAGATGGAAGCATATGATGGTTTCCTTTGACTCAAAAAGGGACTGCGTAATGATAAGGTGTGATTTGTAAGGGTTTATTTTGGGGGCACTGAAGTTGATTTCATGACTCTATGAAAGATTAAAAATCATTGATTCACACTTTTTGAATGGGTAGATGAATTATCCCTCAAAAGAGCGTTTTTTAAAAAATGTGACATGTCGTAACTACTGATTCCATTCCTTTATGTTAGATGGAAAAGTATCCCTGAAAGCTTACCTGGTGTTCTTGGCTTCAGCTTGGTCATAAGGTTAACCCTAGTGGGATGGTGAATGCTGGCAAGAAACAAGGATGGATTTGTGGATGATTTCAGCCGTTACAATATTTGCAAGAGAGAATTTTTCTATTTTAGGAAAAATACAAATTTTTGCATCCACATCTCAGCACTGTTATAAACAAAATCTGGTCAATTCAGAAGATTCTAAAGCAAAACAAATCAGAATAGAACAACAATAACAACGAAACATTTTCTCACTAGGCACTAATAATTATAGTCAACATTTATATATATCCTTTCATTTGTTTAATCTGTGTATTTTTCTTTCCCTCCACTCATAGTCTGTACTGTGGTGCCATAGCATATCTCCTGTTGCATATCATCATTTAGAAAATTATTTTTCAATAACGTAAAAATTACGGAAAAATACAAATACTAAATTGTTGTTGTTTTTGTTATGTGTCATCGAATCACCTGTGACTCAACCAATTCTATGTATAATAGCTCTGAACCCTGTCCTATCCTGAGCCAATCTCACTGTCTCCAACACATCCTGCTCTTATTACCCCAGTCACTGTGTCAATCCATCTCATCCTCTCTTGTGTTGTCCATCCACTCTTCCAAGCATGATGTCCTTTTCCAAGTACTGGTTCTTCTTGGCAACATGTCCAGAGTATGAGAGATGGAGCTTCAGAATCCTTGCCTCCAGAGGGCAGTTTGGTTTCACCCTCTCTAAGACAGACCTGTTTGTTTTCTTGGCAATCCATAGGATTTTCAGTATTCTTCTCTAGCACCGCAACTCAAAGGCATCAATTCTTTTTCTGTTATCCTTATTAATTGTCTAGCTCTCTGATGTATAGCAAGTAATTGCAAACACCATGGCCTGGATCAGGCGCACTTTAGTCTCTAGGTTGACATCTTACTTACATCTCTGCACTTCAGCATTCTGGAGAGGTCCTTGACTGTAGACTTTTCTAATCCAATTAATCTTTTTTTGACTTCCTGGGTTCTAAGAGTGTTAATTGTGGACCCTAGCAAGCTGAAATTGTTAACAATCTCAATCTCTTCTCCATTTATCATGGTGCTGCCAATTGACCCAGTAGTGAGAATCTTTGTTTTCTTGATGTTGAGCTTCCATCTGTATTGAAGACTGCAGCCCTTGACTTTCTTCATCGGATGCGTCAAGTCTTCCTCAGTTTCAGCAATCAAGAATGTGTCATCTCGGTAACTCAAGTGGTTGATGAGTGTTTCTTCAATTTTGATGCCACATTCCTCCTCTTAAAGACCAACTTCTTGAATGATATGTTCCACATATAGATTGAAGAGGTATGGAGACAGACCACATCCCTGACACACTTCTTTCTTGATTTTGAACCCTGCAGTGTGTCAGAGGCAATGCGATTAGCACAGGATAGAGCAGGGTTTAGGGCTGTTGTACATAGGGTCGCTCTGAGTCGCCAACAACTCGACGGCACATAACAACAATAACAACAGTGTTTCCTTGCACTGTTCTGATGACTGCCTTCTGATCCAAGTATAAGTTTTGCAAGCAGGTGTGCTGGGATTCCAGTTCTTCTCAAGGTTAGCCACAATTTGTTATGATTTACATAGTCAAATGCCTTTGCTTAGTCGATGAAATACAGATAGACATTCTTCTGGTAATCTCTGCTTTCAGCCAAGATCCATCTGACATTGACAATGATGTCCCTAGTGCCACAGCCTCTTCTAAATGCAGCCTGTACTTCTGGTGGTTCTCTGTTGATTTATTTTTCCAAATGTTTTTGAATAATGAGCAAGATTTTGCTTGTGTGTGATATTAGTGATATTGTTTGATAATTCCCATTCTCTGGAACTTTCTATTTTGTTAAAATATTTGAGAAAGTTACTGACATAATACACCATCACTCTATCCGCTTTTAGTGTAATTTCCTACAAGGATTTCCTCATATATAGAGGTAATCCAACCATTACTATAAGGAAGCAGTACTGATACATTACCATCTTTTCTACAGACTCCATCCCATTTTCATTCATTGTATCAGCTTTGTCCCTGATGACAAGCAGATCCAGTTCAGGGTTATGTCTTGCCTTTAATCGTGTTTCTTTCATCTTCCTCAATGTGAAATAGTCTCTCAGCCTTTAGTCTCTCGCAGTGTGGGGCCATTTCCTGTCGTGATCACATACTCCTTAAAATCACATTATTTGATGTTTCCTCTTGATTGGATTAAAAGTTTCTATCTTTGGTAAGAAAACCACAGGAGTGGTGCTGTGATTTGCTTATGGCATCTTAAGCGAGCTAATTTAATAAATATTATGTTTTGAATTTTTATCTTGTTTCTAGAATAGTTATCTTCAGGATAATTTTTAATATCTTAGTAGAATACTATTACGTAGAGAGTTCTTAACTTAACAATCTTATTTTGCTTTCATCATAGAACAGAGCAGGATTATCAGCTCATTATTCCTGCGTCATCTAAGATTATGGGCCCCTTCTTAATTTTTTTAGTCAAGTGAGAAACTGAAATGACAAGATCTTGGGAAAGTCTAAAGTAAGACAATATACTTTGAATTAGATTTTTCTTACTTTTAACTACCACACCTGGATATACTTTTATATAGAGATGCAGCTAACAAGGTTTAGTCCTGACAAATGCACATCACATAGGCACCTCCAGCCTGTGGAGGCGGATTGCGTGTTGCCATAACGCTGAACATGGTTCACTGGAGCTTCCAGAAAAAAGATGGTCCAGAAAGAAAGGTCTAGTGAGAAGGAGCTCATGAAAACCATCACTTCCTTTCCTTTATTTTTAAAAGAACTGTTGAAAATTTCAACCATCTTAGATGTGAAGACTTGGTATTTCTTGCATCACTGTAATATTTTCTTTTTAAACTTATGAAGACTCTGCTACACATATGCCAATACCTAGTAGTAATAGTAGCCTTTAATATAAGAAATTGTAACTGGGTTGCTTCTTGTATTATCTTTGCTCTAAGGTAAAAAAAAAAAAGCAGAACATATGCTTTAAAACAGGTTCACATTTATTTCATTACTGAATTATATGAATATTAGGTATTTGGGAGAGAGAACATCTTCTTAAAACATGTTGACTTGTAGCAGAATCTAGATTAAGAACTTGGACTCTGAACTTGAATCTGGACTTTATTGTTTCTTAATTGTATGACATCGGGCAGTTTACTTATTACTTCTTCAGTCTTAATATTCTCATCTGTAAAATTTGACTCAGATTCTGGCTGTTAGAGCTAGCTCTTATAAAGAGTACATGTAACCTGCTTAAACAGATCCTTTGTATCTGTACAAATGTCCAGTAAATGTTACTGTTTTATTTCTTTCTTGACCCTCATGTCTCAGTGGAAATAGAATAGTGTTTTTAACTTCTCATGGACTGCAAG